CTATCGAGGCATGTACACCACTAATAGACTACTGATAGTAACTTTAAATCCCTTCCCTGTGTTCCTTAATTACCAGAAATAAACTTTATATCAGTTTTAGTAAATTCATCGACACATTAAACTTGGGCAAAACAATAAAGGTGCCTGTGTTCACACTACTAGACACAGAAATCCAAAGTTGGTAATTAATTGTGGAATTCTACGCTGTATTTATCCGTTCGCTATTAACGTCCTGTTTTGATTTAACTTCCGCCACTGTTAGTGTAACACCATTATATGTAAAGAGGAACTTTTACCGAACAATAGAACAATTCATTTTATCACTACTTATTTACCAAACCTTTATACCTCACTTTTCTACATTATAATTTTAAAAGACTTATAACAACTACACCCTTATAAAACATTAATTTATTATATCCATACCAAGTATTCAAATGCAGAAAATATAAAACTGGTTTCTTTTATCAATATTTTCTTACAAAGTTGATGATAATGATGATGATGATAATAATTACTTTACAATTCGACTGATTTGTATTAGGTGATCCAGCCAGTATAACTTTTAAATTTAAACAGTTTTTATAAAAAAATCCCAAAATGTTGTGTAAGCTGGTTGTTAAAAATACTGGCCATCATTCGGTGAACTGATCCTATTTTACGTTTGTTGTTTTTAAAATCGTTTAATAAAGCAGCTTACAGTTTGGAATTATACAAACATTGCTTTTTATGAGAAACCAAAAACGAGAAAAAAAATCTCATATTTTCAAAGTGTTGCAGCTATAATAAAGAGATAAACTAATTTCCATTTGAATTTCATTCTGTTTTTCAACGTTTGTTTTTCTAATATGAGTGTACAATGCCTACATATGTTGGTCTGATTGACATCTGTTGTTTCCCGCACCGCGAGTATTACAAAATTTATGACTACTTCATCGAATAAATTTTCATAAATTGATTTTATATTACCTAATATTTTTTGCGGAAGCTTTATTAAATTTGCCTTGGTTCAAGTTTATTAGGTTAATATCACAAAAATTGCATCAAAACCAATACTGCGTTTCAGTACCAGCATGCATGCAATTTTATGCTTAAAATTTGTTATATGATAAAATCTAAAAATACTATCAAACCTTTATTTTAAATAATTTATGAGTAGGTAGATCAAATTCAAATTGTATCGTTAGTTTTCATAAAATAATAAAAAATAAAATAATCTTTATTGGGTCCCATTTTTTTTTGGATATATATTATAGGTCTAGACTACCTGGAACTAAACCAGAGATTGATGCCATTGAGCCATGTAAGAGTTAGACACAAAAATAAAAAACAGTTTTCTGGAGAAATAGTAACTTAATATGTGTAAATAAAAAAAAATCTCCAATATGGGTATTTTCAAATCAAAAATTTCAAACTTATCTGTATTTTCATTAAGGTACATTTTAATCGATGAATTATAAACAAAGTAAAAATCCATTAAAAGGCGCATTTAGTTGTTGAAGATTTTAATCCCATTTTTAAAGGGTTCACTCTTGAGAGTATATAAATTTTATGTTCGTGTCGTTTTTAGTTAAAAAAATTAAAGTCAAGTATCAGTAGGGACAATCAGCCCCTCGTTGCTTTCAGTGATCCTCGCCCATGCGAAGGCTTTATAAAAGGTTTTCAAGTAATTCATCGCGATTGTGTGAACAACTTATATATAGACTCAAAAGTCGAGGCTTTCAGGCCGAACAAAAGGCCAATACAGGCCATCAACGTCTCTAGCATCCTCATGTATACATAGCTTTGCTGGTATAGAACAACTAGATGTCATTGTTCGATCTTTAAAATTTTCAGTAAGTAAATACTTTGCGAAAATTATGTGTTAACTTAGCTTTAGACGTCATCTATTATCCTCAATTTAGCAAAAAAATATTTTGCAAAGAAAACCACTGACAACGGCTTTAAGGTTTACAAGCATCATATTACAAATATGAATGTAAAAATGCATCGCTAACCGTCCTAAGCCTTTAATATTTTAAACTGTAATAATATTTAAGCTGAGTTGGAAACTTTAATTTTAAATCCTTTATCCAAAATGATGGAAATCCGATAGATTATTATCCATTTTGAAGAGAAAATTGAGTAGTTTTATTGTTGTATTATAGGTAAATTTAATATTACGAAAACAATGTATTTTAGTCAAACATCAAAAGTTCTTCATTATATTTTTGATGGATATTAATTTACATTAATACACATACTTTTACATTTATTATTTTTCGTAGTAAAAAAAATCTGTTTACATTAGGTCTGGTGAACTAGCGGACCATGTAAAGAGTGTTCAAATAAAAACGCCGGGAAATTCTAAATAAAACCTAAATGATTGGTTTATTCCTCATTATTTTTTGCTGCCTTTAAGGTAATACCAAAAAAAATCAATACACAATGTCTATTAGACATATACGAGCGCTTATACAAATCTTCATACACATTTACGATTTTTATTATTTATCATTACTTCACTAAAGTCTTCATTACTTTTTAAAAATGAATTATGACTAATAGAGTAAAAGCAGCAACTAATAATTCTCGTCAACAGCAATTTATATTTCGGACATTTAGCAGGCAATTCATATGTAAAATTGCCTTCTGAATCCGAAAATGTCGTCAAAAGTAATAAAAGTGGAACAGTTTTTGAGATATATTTTTGATATAATATGGAATTTACTATATCTTTAAAAATGCCCGACTTTTATTTTTGACAGTATTTAACTTATTAACTACAGTTATTAGTGGCTGCTTTTTCACTTTGAAAACTAGTCATTTTTGACTAAGTTATTTTTAGAGAGAAGATATATGCTCTCTAAAAGTGAAACAGTGAAATTTTCACTATTTCCGTCAGTGAGTTATATTTCACTGTAAAATTAGTGTTTTTCAATATAAATTAGTGAAATTTTAACTTCTCCAAATTAGTGTTTTTTGTGTGTTTGTCAGATCACATGATCTTGGTGGTCATTAGTCGTCATTACGTGAAATTAGTCTGTCAGGAAATCATGTTATAACTTATTATTTTTCAGAAGAGTTACGAGAAACAGTTCTATAATTTGATAGTTTATTCCATAGATAACAAAGCCTTTCCATAAATTAAAACCGACGTTTCTATTGGAGCAACATTTTCAATTTCTTGATTTGGTATTTAGAGTTATTTATGAACGATTTTGTTTATTTAATAAAAAAATACTTGTGGGGGTGTATGTTTATGAAAATTTATTAAAAATATTTTCAGATATGGTGAATATTTTGTAAAAAAACTCAGGTATATCCCGATAGAGAGTACAACAATATTATCAGTTAATTATTAAAATATTTGCATAACCTCAATTTTTTTTAATTATCGGCGAATATTTATGACCCGAGTGGAAACACCGAACTAATTTTTATACATAGCTGCATATTTCTTCGCTTATTGCTTTTTAAAACATTTATTTTCCTCTCGGATATAAAATTTTTATACTGCCTTCGAATCGACAGCTTTTACAGTTGTGTTAGTGCATTTGGTCTTTTATTTGGGGTTTTATATTTTCCAATTTAATTTATAATGCGTATTTAAATTTTTAATATATTTTGGGGAAAAAGATATCGATTTGAAATTTGAAATTTTAAGTCTATTTTTCTAAAATGTTTTGAACAAAATACCACTTCCGGTTAAGCCGGAAGTGATATCGATTTTGTTATTTCAAATAAAACACCTCATATATTTTACATTTTAAAATTCTACATAAAATTCTAAGTAAGATTACTATACCATGGGGGTAAAATTTTTGGAATCTTAAAACATTGCTTAAAAGATTCCATGTTAATCTATTAACATTTTTCAACCAATGACCTGAGAAAATTAAGCCAACTTGAAACGTTAATAACTTTTTTATTTTAAATATAACAACATAATCAAATAGTTAATTAAAAAATCTGTTGATTGATGATGGGTATAGGGACCTTAATAATTTTAGAAATAATTAAAAAATTTTAATATTAAATATTCAGGCATTTCTTAATTCTTACTTCTAGATTAGACTTGCTCTTTTTGACTAATATTAGAAATTGTTAAATATCTCTGAAATTATTAATTTTAGGTATAGGGATTTAATTTTTTATTTGATTATGTAAAAACATTTAAAATAAAAAGTTATTAACGTTTCATGTTAGCCTAATTTGTTGAGATATTTTAAAAAATTGATAATGTTTTAAGATTCCAAAAATTCCACCTTCATATGCGCAAATATACTAACGACAAAGTTATAGGCTATTTTCGAATGACGCGAATTTGTCAAATCTTAAAGAAAAAAAAAATAATTCTATTTACTTTAGGTAAAGGACATTGTTTGGTCATTTTACTCAGAATTTTAAAATGTATAAATATATGTGGTGTTCTATTTAAAATATCAAAGTTGATGTCACTTCAGGTCAAACCTGAAGTGGCATTTCGTTCAAAACATTTTAGAAACATAGACTGCATTAAATTATAAATGCGATACCTTTATTGATAACTTTTGCCGTTCCTCAGAAACTTTTAATAGACCACAAACGTGAAACACCCTGTATATAAGAAAAATCCAATAGTATAACCAACCTTTAGGCTATAATCGGTTCACTCATGTATTTATTTTAATTTACAATATCAAATTAAGAAAATGTCAACAAAATATTTACAACTTTTAAAATTCATACCCTTATACACCTTTTACTTTTAGTAAAATAGGCTTTAATGTTTATTTTTTTTTAATTAAAAGTAAAATATTATGTAAAATTGGTGCATTACCGTTTCATGTAACAGCGGTGTTTTTTAGTGACAAGATTAAATGAAGTGAAGCCAACCAAATTATTAGTGAAAGTTCAGCGTTATTACGCAAACTGATGAAATTTAATCCTACGAATAAAAACCGCCGAAACAAAAAGCAATTGAACAAAAATTGCATATAAATTGATTTTGTATTGTTAGCTAGTCAGTGTAAGCAAGTGTTTGTCACACGATGCGCGTTCTGCTTGTGGCGTTCGGTGTTTGTGCCGTTTTGGCTTTAAGCCAAGCCAGGGTGTTCCAAGGGGAAGATGAAGAACCTCAGGATTTAGCTTTGGCTGAGTCCAAACACCATTCGTCGCATGAAGAAGGTGGAGGGCATGAAGAGCATGGCGATCATCACAGTGAGCATGGAGAAAAGGGCGATAAGGGCTATAAAGCCAAGCATCACCATGACAAGGGCGATCATGGAAAACACGGGAAGCATCACCACTCTAGTCACCACGCCGAAAAGGGCGGACATCACAAGTCGCATCACGATGAGGCCGGACACCACGCTGAACACCACGAAGGTGGTAAAAAGCACAAGGCCGGCAAATTCGGTGAGAAAAAAGGACACAAGAAGGGGCAAAAAACGACCGGTTACCATCACAAGTCCCACAAAGACGAATACCACAAGGAGCACAAATTCTACGATGATCACCACAAAGGCGGTCACCACTCCAAACACGGCGACTTTCACGGCCATCACGGCGGCAAGGAGGGTCACCACAAGAAGGGAGGCAGTCACAAAAGCGGTTACCATGACGATCATCATGGTAAGAAGGGTCATTCCGCCAAAGGGCACTACGATGAAGATCACAAGGGTCACAAAGGTCATGGAGGGCATGAGAGTCACCATTCCCACCATTCCGATTATGGAAAGAAAGGAGGTCATTCCGGAGGAAAGGAGTACGGATTCAGTGATAAACATTAGAATAATGACTGATTTTTGGAGATTGTTGATATTTTGTTGTAAAGTTACTATTGTCCATTACTGTTATTTTAATAAAAAGGTTATTTAAAATGTTCGTATTTTCGTTACATTTTTTTTGCATAGCATGAATGGGTGAGCCATCAAAACAATGGGATCTTGTAATCCATATTCCTGACTAACAGTAGTGGCTGCTTTTTCACTTGTACCATGGTTAATCATGGTATACCATGGTTACCCAAAATTTAACAGCCAATTATTATGTAAAAATGTCCCCTGAATCCGAAAATACCGTCAAAAATTATGAAACTGGAGCAGTTTTTGAGATATAGTCAATTCCATATTAAATGGAAAATTGACTATATCTCAAAAACTGTTCTACTTTTTTAACTTTTGACGGTATTTTCGGATTCAGGGAACAATTTTACATAGGCTGTTATGGCATGATTAACTATGGTACAATTGAACAAGCAGCCACTAATAACTATGAAATTAGTCATTTTCGACTAATTCATTTTTAGAGAGAAGGAAGTTATTATGGAGTACAGATTTAGTGATAAACATTAGAATACCGACTGAATTTTGGATAATGTTAATATTTTTTACTGTTATTTTAATATAAAGGTTATATACAATTTTTTTACTTTTTAAGAAACCCTTTTTTTATTCTCAATAAAAATGCACATAATTCAGGAAGTTAATATTAAATGGTAAACAAAACGTTTAAAGATAAGACGTTTAAAAATAAAAAATGCGGTAATGTTAAAACGGAGAGTAAATTGAAATCGATACTAATTTAAATGGGTAATTTATACAATTTAATTTGCATTGGTAATAAATTATTTAAAAGTCAAATAAAATATGGATTTGTAAGGGAAAAAATTACCTACTTTATAAAATTTAAAACAAACATGACTAAGTAAGTAGAAAACTGTGTTTATATTTAAATTTAACAATTTGTATTAAATAAATAATAAAGCCAATAATACTAGTATTGTTTGACGTAGATATAAAATATTTATTTTATGGGAGGTTAAAATAAACTAAATTCCCTATTATGCACGTATACTCAAGAATCTTTAAAATTAATATTTAGGCAAAATTTAATTTGCACTAGATATGATTTCAAAGAACCTCTACAAAAATAAATATGACAAAATGTCATGATTACGATCATGTACGAGGTGTGTTCAGAAAATAACGGGAATTGTTAAATTTCGCGGGTTCTGAAGGTCCGGTTGTCATACAATTTTCTTTATTATGTTAGTATACATACCCACGAAGTATGATACAAAGTTTAGCTGTTTTCATTCTTTACTTTGTCTGTGGCAGCCGCTAAGGTTAGACGTGTATTATGAGCTCGGCGATTTTTCGTTCGTTAAAAGAAATGGATCAAAGAATTTGTATCCAATTTTGCCTAAAAAATTAAATAAATTCTGTGAAATGTTATCAAATGCCTATAGTGAGTCTGCTATAAGTAAAACAAGAGTTTACAAGTGGTATAAGAGTTTCAAAGATGGCCGTGAAGACGTTGAAGATGACGAACGCCCCGAACGCACAAGCACATTAACAACCGATAAAAACATGGAAAAAGTGGAAGAAATGGTTATAAACCATCAAAAAAGCCGCTGTTGATGTTGGTATATCGATTGGCTCATCCCATGAAATTTTTCGAATGTTTTGGGTATGAAACGCGTGGCAGTAAAATTTGTTATAAAATTGTTAAATTTTGAACAAAATTTTTGGCCAAAAACAATACTCCATATTCGCCAGACATGCCTCTGTGAGACTTTTTCCTATTCCCAAAAATAAAGAGAACCTTAAAGGGCCGTCGTTTTGCAAGCATAGATGACATTAAAAGCGCATCGCTGAAAGAACTAAAGGCTATCCCAAAGATCGAGTTTTAGAAGTGTGTCGAGTATTGGAAGAAGAGCTGGCACATGTGCATAATGTCCAATGGGGACTATTTTAAAGGCGACAACATTAATGTAGACGAATAAATAAATATTTTTTCAAAAAAAGAAAATCCCCGATGTTTTCTTAACACACCTCGTATTGTAATAAAAACGCTAACGAATTAGATGTTGACGTAACATTGACGTTTACAAAATAAATAATTTTTAATATTGGAATTTTCATTTAAAAAATTGTATTTAGAATTTTTGTTAGAACTTTTTTAAACAACTTTGTTTAAATGTTTTCCTAATTTATTAACAACTGATCTAAAATTTTTATATTGTAAATTAATTTAACAATCAGAATTTTTTACAAATAATGCATTTTTATGGTAAAATAAATAATAACGATTTTTTCCTATTGTGTACTTCATTCACACACTGTATATAGGAAAATATGATATGCTTTTAATTTATTTTGACACTTTTTCCAGATTACAATTAATATATTGTATTAATATAACTTTACATTTTAAAAGTCCCTAAATTTAGAGCATGTGTGCATTTTTTACTTTTTTCACTACAGACAAATGTCGAAACTAGTTAATAAAAAGTTTCTTTCCTATTTTTATTACAAAAATAACCGCTATTGTATGTAAAGTACTCGGTCTGTAATTGAAATTAATCGAACGCTTTAAAACAAATTGATTGCTCTTTTGTGGTTTTGACACTCACCTTACAAAATTGCAACAAGATGAATTTCAACAAAAATTATCGCAACGTACTTTTTGTAAAACCTGACCAAATCTTGCATAAACTCACTGACCGTTAGCCGATAAATCTTATGAAATGAATCCATTATAAATACCTAAGGGGATCAAAGTAAAGTCAGTACAACACGACCAACCACTAAATCATGAGGATAATTCTGTTTTGTGCCAGTGCGTGCCTGTTAATTGCGATATGCAGCTCCAGGGAAATAAAGAAGGACGAAGAAAATCACGATTTGGAATTAGCGGAATCCAAACACCATCACGAATCGGGTGGTGGATCTTCGCACCACGGGGATCACCATAGCAGTCATGGTGATAAAGGCGATAAAGGATACAAGTCAATGCATCACCACGACAAAGGAGGTCATGGTAAGCACGGAAAACACCACCACGCAAGTCACCACGCTGAAAAAGGAGGTCACCACAAGTCTCACCACGATGAAGCCGGCCACTACGGTGAACATCATTCCTCTGGTAAAAAACACAAGGGCGGCAAATGGGGCGGTAAAAAGGGACACAAGAAAGGACAAAAGACCACTGGATTCCACCACAAGTCCCACAAAGACGACTACCACAAGAACCACAAATTCTACGATGATCACCACGTTGGAGGCCACCACTCCAAGCACGGTAGTTTCCACGGTCACCACGGGGGTGAGGAGGGTCACCACAAGAAGGGAGGCAGTCACAAAAGCGGCTACCATGACGATCACTTCGGAAAGAAGGGTCATTCCGACAAAGGCCACTACGATGAAGATCACAAAGGGTACAAAGGTCATGGAGGTCATGAAAGTCATCATTCTCATCACTCTGATTATGGAAAGAAGGGCGATCATTCCGATGGAAAACATTGGGGATTCAGTGAGAAGCATTGATTTATGTTTGTTTTGTTGGTTTGATTAAACATTGTTTACCTAAACTCTTTATTATTATTATAGCCCAGTCCAATTTTATTTCAAAAAATCATTAGCTCTATGCGTTTAAAATACATTTTAAAATATTGAAATGCGCAATACACCTACATTGTTTACTTTTTTTTTATCAAAAATACAGTTTTCGATAAAAATTTACTAAAATAGCTTGAATTTTTCGTCCTAAACCCTATGACCCAATGACATAAATTATAGGGGGAAATGGTTCCTACATTTTTGTTGTATAAATTTCGTTAAAAAAAAACAAGTTGTGGTCAAGCTTTTCTTATAAACCCCAAAAGATTTATTCAAAAAAATCCCCATTGTCAATTTTTTCAAAAAGATATTTTTTTTTTCAAAAGATTCACTAGAAATATATTAAAGAAACAGTTATAATGCAATCGAATTTCCATTAGAAATACAATATTTATTTCTTAACTTAAACGAAGCGAAGCAATAACACTGTAGGTAAATTTCAAACTTTTGAAAAGACACATAAAACCGCCGGGACACGAAAACCTAATTTTTGGGTGTAGAATTCATTGGTGTAATCAGTTTTTTAAAGTTAGCTCGTTTTCTCAAGATATTAATTATTTAAGTTTTTTGTTTCACCATTTTGCTATATTTTTAAAGAAAAATATAGCATAACCCGTTTTAAAATGTCTGTATTTATTTTAAATTTATAAATTTTTGTCTCTTAAATTAATAACATTCGTGTTATAACACTTATAAGCCGATAATATTCATATTTTTTAATTTTATTAGATTTTTCGCATATTTCTTTTTTTGTAATTAAATTTGTTTTAGTAAATTTTATTGTCTGATATTAGTGGGAAATATTAGAATTTAATAAAATTTGAGAATTTCATTTACTAGTAAATAGACTAAGTACAGCCTGTATAAATGTTGTTTTTAGTTTTTACAATTTTGTGGTTAAGTAAGTATAAATATATCAACCGAATGCGATGAAGCTGGTGAACGATTTCATCAAACCATTATGACATTTGAAGATCGGTTTTCTGGCAAAAAATTCGACTCGATGCTTGCTGATTTTTGTTGGTCAATCTTCAAAAAAGCATAAAATTAAACATTTTTTACATTCTTTACAACTTGTTATTTAAGTAGTTTTTTTATTTTTTAAAATATAAATTAATTTTAATATTTTATACTACTAACTGACAAAAAAGTTTATAATTGATAAATAAAACGACCTAATTTTAAAAACGGATTACACCAATGAATTCTACACCCAAAAATTAGGTTTACATGTCCCGGCGTTTTTTTGTGTCTTTTTGGCATTTCTCAAAATGTACAAAAATAATAAACCAAAAAGTTACAAAAACTTGAATATCTTAAGAAAACGAGCTAACTTTAAAAAACTGATTACACCACTGGATTCTACGCCCAATAATTAAGTTTACGTGTACCGGCGATTTTTTGTGTCTTTTTGATGTTACTACTGTGTAATAGTTACATATTTAGTTTTAATAGATAAAAAATGGTTAGGAACAATTAGGTTAAGTTTTAAGCTGTTATTTTTCTATTATTATAGAAAAATATATTAATAATATTATCCACAATTGTTTGGATTGTGATACCTATTATCATTGTTTTTATTTCATGGTTATAACATGTCATAAAATATATGACATTTTATATATAATATACTTTTTATTTATCGGAATATTTGGTTTGTGTCTATTTTTTCATGTGAAATGTAAGTAGAAATTATCAGATTTAAAATAATATACAAATTTTATTTCTAAAAAACATTTTGTTTATTTGATTTTTAAAATTATTTTGAAATACCTACGTCAGTTTCATCCAAAAATAAATAAATTTTTGTTGCTAAAAGACATTTCCTTAATCTAAAATATCTTAAAGAATGTATAGTTTTTTAAAACTTAGCCATAGGATTGTTCTTGGGACAAGTTATATAAAAAAAAAGTTTTGCACTTTTTAACCCTTAACTGGTGACTTATCAGTGGTGAGTTGGCGAGTTTGGTCTTGGCGTACCCCATTTATAAAATATTTTTACAGCCAATTATTTTTTTATATATTCTATATTTATGGTAAATATAGATATGTTATGGCATGGTATACCCATTGTAAATTTAAATACATTTTTCTTAATAAAATATAACATATACAAAATAAAACCGCTTCTCTTAAAAAAAACAAAATAAAAAATTATAATTTTAATAAATACCAATAGAAATAATATTTGGTGGGTCAAAATTATTGCTTACTGCAATTCTTTCTCTGACGTGAAAGATTCTCTTTGAATATTTTATGCTTTTTCCGTTACTTTGTAAAGCAGTCGGTTCAATCGGATAATCTTTACTCTGTATCTGTACTTAAAATGATATAGACAGATATAACTTATATAAAAAGTAGCATATTATTGATGGGGTCCTGTAAAACCTTACCTTAACAGTTAAGGGTTAATCCAAAAAAACTAGGACAAAATTACAGGAATGACACATATATATACCCTAACCCGTCCAATTTATTTAATTTAAGCATCAGCAATTTTCATAAAATGACCTCTGATCAAGAAGGTAGCAAAAACAAGTTTTATCCTGTATTCCAACAGAGAGGCAGTCTTTTCATTTTGTACCTTAAAAGAATGAAATAAAGAAAAATAAATACATGCAATAAACAATAAAGGTATAAGTATGTAATCTTTTTTATGTAAGTATTTAAATAATAAATGTTTAGGTATGCACATAAACAAACATATTTGCATGTTTTTTATCAAAACGTTGTTTACTGACACGGATTTAATATTCTTACGATATGTTTTATTCTATACAAAACACATACGTCTTAAAGTTCAAAAATTTGATATTTTTCATTTTTCTAATAAGCCTACTGTTTCTTCTACACCAATCCGTATTGGTTTATTTGTTCACCAATATAGAAAGCGAGTATGTATTGGAAATAAATAAAATTGTAAGTGAAATCAACGAAATACAATTTATAAGAAATGAGGAGCTTTTTGAGCCTTTACAGGAAAATGATTACGTTGTCGTTATACAGGTAGTAAACATTTCTTTTAACCAAAATAAATGAGTATATATTAGTTTTAGGTTCATAACCGAGAAAATTACTTAAGGCATGTCATAGAATCTCACTCTAGGGCTAAACATATCGATAAAGTTTTGATGATTTTCTCACATGATGTTTATGATGACAATATTAATGAAATTATTGCGAATATAACGTTTTGCAAAGTAATGCAAATATTTTATCCGTTTTCGATACAAATATATCCAGATGATTTTCCAGGGGATTCACCGAATGACTGCCCTAGAGACATAGGCATACAAAAGTAAAACTATTTAATAAAAGCTTTAGAAATAGGATTAAACGGTTTTAAAAAGTAGTTCAACTACTCTGTGTCATTTTTTAGTTTAAAAAGTGTATGACCTACTAAATATCGTTTAATCTTATTTTTGCAATTTGTATACCACTTACATTTTCAGAGCTAAGGAAATAAATTGCACAAACGCCTTTTACCCAGATTCTTTCGGCCACTATCGTGAAGCCACGTTTACACAAATCAAACATCATTGGTGGTGGAAACTGAATAAAGTATTTTTAAACTTGAGAATCACTAAAAATTTTAATGGATATTTTATATTTCTTGAGGATGATCACTATGTTACCGAAGATTATTTACATGTCTTAGATAAAATGACGAAGGAATGTTTCAAGTATGACTGTACTGCCATGGGTTTGGGTGATATAAACGGCGGGAAACAATATGGAGAAATAGAAAAAGTATGATTAAGATTTTAGTCATCAACCATATTATAATAAATATACCAGTATATAGGTCATTTTATGACAAATCGACCACGGAAATAGTTTTGTGTAATTTTTTTTCAAATTTGTTTTATTTCATCGCAAAAAAGTTTTTTTAAACGTTACAAATATAAACAGTTGCCCAAATTAGAAAGTGCACCCACATTAATTTTCTTAAGATTTATTTATTTTTCGTTTTATGCCACAAGACATTTTTTCTCTATTTTTTTTATTTTTTATAATTTATAATTTTTATAATAAAATTTAAAAAAAAAGAAAAGTTTAGCAAATAGTATTGACTGAAAAATTATTATTATTTTCTGAAATACTTAAAAAATTTCTAGAAAATATTTTTTCTATTTTTTCAAACATAAAAAGTTGTAAAAGTTTGGACGAGTTGTTTTTGCTTTTTTGTGATTAAGTAAAACATTTGAAATAATCACATCCAAATCAAAAATGGTATCACTGTTTCAAAAGTGGCTGATTTGGCATGAAATGCCACATATTTAAATATCAACTGTTTCGTAAATCAAGCCCAATTTTTCAGTACTATTTTCCACGCCCTCTACTGAAAATAAAGATCTTTTTAAGAACTATTCGAAGACGAAACAATTCTTCTGAAGTTTACTTTTTAGAAATAAGCAATACAAATTTATAATATACTTAAAGGCTTACACATTAACTAAATAACAGGCTTATACATATATTAACTACATATATGGCCTACTAAATCTTATCAATGGATTACAGTCCACTATATAGCTTGTATTATTGCAAATCATTGGGTTGGAACAAATTTGTTGCGATCAATATAGAAAGCCTAAATCCAGTTTTTGACCATCAACCATTTGCAGCTTTTCCTCCATCTTAGATTAAGGGTCGAATTTGTTTCGCGAATAGCAATTTTTGTATTTAATCGAAAAAACACCCGAAACCATTTTTGATAAAAATATATACAAATAACTACTGGAGTAATATGAGATTATGAGATTTTTTTACATTATGTTTTTAAGGTTAAGTTATCACCCGGGTTTCCAAATATGGGTTTGGTTTTCAAGAGGACTTTATGGAATCTTATTAAGTCTTGCGCCAAGACTTTTTGTGAATATGATGATTACAACTGGGATGTAACATTAAATTATTTATACAATGTTTGCTTAAACAGTAGCGGCCTGACTTTGAGTACTACAAATAGCAGAGTTTATCATATAGGAAGTTGGTGCGTATTAAATTTATTGAATAACAATTGATTAATAACGTAATCCTATTCATTTCCTTGAATGTTAACTTTTTTGAGTATAAATATCAACTATGTTAATCATATTATTCCACGCATTTATTCATTAATGAAATCGACTAAGTAACTTTGACCAAACAAACAGTTTAGTTTTAATCGCACATTAAACGATATTTATGTTTTCGAAATAAATGCATTAGCAAATAAACAATATTAACTAATGCCAGTGAGTCATTAAAATAACCGATTACAATAAATATGTACGGTGATAAAATGAATTTGCTGACAAATTTAATTTATATTTTGAGAGTGCAAATATTATATTTATTGATGGCCGCATTTGAATAGTGTCAGTATTATATATTTTAACTATGTTAAATGTCAATAAAAATGGGTTTAAATTTCCTATTACCTAAATACAAGGTCCGGCAACTAAACTCAATTGTTTTGAAATGGTCGCTATGTTTTATTGTTTTTGTGTTAAAATAACAAATTGGCCTGTTGATATTTTCTATGAAATTTGTTATCCCTGTTCAAATTCAGAGGTGATACTGAATGCTGGAAATATTGTATAATTTTTAGTGGACTTCATCACCATGGCATCTGTGATCCAGTCACTCAAATACAAGGAATTGAAACTACCTTAAATCAATCAAAATTATATCCAAATAATGTAAAACTATCAAATATAAGAAGGCGAAAATCTAAAATGAATAATAATGGAGGTTGGGGTGATATTCGAGATCATTACTTATGCTTTAAAATGACGTTATAAAATGATAAATCTACAAAAATTGTAATGTACAATAAAAATAAAGATTATTTACTAAAAAGTCAAATACTTTGCTTAAACCTAAAATAACATCAGATGCCGATATATTCTCGACAGGATCAAACAGAAAATTTAATGGTTAATTTAAATCCAAAATCTAAATATAAATTTTACATTATAAAGCATTCTCCAATATTTGTACATTTATTTAGGCAAATATTGTGTATGTATTGGGGCTGCGGAAGATAATTTACAATAATTGTTGAGCTGCGAATTTAAATATAAACCAAATAATGTTTTTTTAAACAATAAGATACAATTATGCAAATCCTTATATACAGTGTTCTATGGTAATAAGGGCAAGTAGCGTTTATTAAGGCGAAAATTATTTATTTACTGTATATATGTATATACAGTGCCAAAACAGGTCATTGAAAAGAACAAAAAACAAAGTTATTGTATGGGCTTTTCTTTAACTTGATAATTTTTTTTTCTGAAAAACAAATTGATTTGTCAGGTTTGTGTAGTCGCGGCCAAATCTGTATGGGTGCACGTCATCAATGCGATATAATGACGTCAGCAGTACCAACTTTGAATTGTAAAGTTACTGCCGTTACACTGTTCAAAATTTCATGACCATTTTAACACCAAATTAACACCATACATGGTCTATATCGATACAAACCAAAATGGTGTTAAATATGGTTCGTTGGCCAGTGTAAATTCAAATACTAAAATAGTGTAAATTTAACTTTCACACAGTATTAAAATAAATTTTACCTGGTGTAAATTAAACTTCTTTTCAGTGTTAAATATTATGTGTTTTTGGTCAAATTAAATCATACTACACAGAAAAAAATAAAAAAAAGAAAACAGGAAGTTCCTTGACGCATTACTAGTATATTACTAGTGGTATTATTTCAGTAAATTGAACCTTCAACTCGCTAGAGATAATGTTTTTAGTGCGTTCCACCAACTTCAAATACTTCAAGTATTGACAGCTGTTTCCACCTATAGGTGGTATATTTAAGGTCTGTTTAGTATCGAACAACTTGTGGTGTCACACCAAAGCAAAGGACTACCTGAGCTTATATACTCTTTATGTAAGTCAACAGAGGCGAGATTTAAGAAGATCACGTGATCCACACCGCCTTTGCCGCGATCGGTACATACTATGCAACCAGGAATGCACGGCAAATTGTTTTACGTTTTAACAGAGTGCTTTAGGTTGAAGTAACTCTTATTTTACAAACAACATATTTAGTAAACTGAAGTCACTAAAGTTTCCTGGGTTAATTTAACCAATTTAAAAAAAATAAAATAACTATCTGGTTTAGTACCGTCAAACTTGTCTTTGTTTATATTAACCTTCCACAGTTGATTTTAATAAATACTTATGGGTCAACTAAGTTAATATAGTGAAATTAACTATTCCTTTTTTCTGTGTAGGTGCAATTCTCAAATATTTTTAGATAAACACCGTTTTGTTTATAACATTTTCAACCATAATTCATGGTGTTTATATTAATACCACAATTTTCTTGTTTTAAAACGTTACTATAAAGGTATTATCGATAAAAAGGGTAGTAATTTTAATTAAAAAAAAACAGATCTAGCTCTTTGCTTTGATAATGTCAACATTAATTAAGAACTTTGCCGAATAGTGTAGTATAGTTACTTGTGGGTATTAATTTAAGGATGAGTTAAAGTCAAAACATAAAAAGAACACGAGCGAATGGTGTTCTACTAACAGTTAAAAGATTAATTAATCTCAGTTAACATGCAAACCGCATTATTCTTTTACCCCTTTTAGAGCGACGGTCCGTCCCTGTAACAGCGTTGCGGTGCTATTTTACGACTTTAACGAAGCATGTCATGACAACATTTCCATATAAAACGCGGCTAGCAAACGCTTTCGTGGCCCGCTTCTACGGCGCGCGGGGGAATTTTGCTTCAAAGTTCGGGCTTACGATGAATGTCGTTTGGTAACTGTCGCCTTACTCTCCAAATGAAATTATTCTTTCGAGTGGTGGCGCACGGCCTCATTACTCTCTCATGCCAATTATTTATATACCTACGTACACATACACACGTATTTATTTCATTAGAAGACTTTTAATAGGGTGTATTTAATTTTAAATACAATTTATAATTGTCGCCGGGCTAAGCCATACGCCCGATTTAGGCTAGTGGAGTGCGGAACAAGGAAGGAAAACATTTTGGTTTTTGGGGGACATTTTTTTTAATATTTCTTCTTTTTAAAAAATTATCAAAACGAAAGTATTTATGTGATTTATATTTAAATAGTGGCAAAACTGTTTCATCGTTAATTAAGAACTCTGTATTCATGATTTTATGATTATTTATTAAATTATATTTAAATTTTATTTTAAAGATTTATTCACTAGGCAACGATAAATATTTGTTCAATTAAATATTTGATAAAATCTGCTTAATTTACCAATTTTAAATAAAAATCCCTAATTTTACTCTAGGTTGTAAATGAACGCACTCAGAAAATAAAGACCCGGTGCCCATGATTTATCCGAGCAGTTTCAATAAATTTGGAATTCAGATTGAATAAAGTTCGCTGTGATAGAAAAGGTTAATGTAGTAACTCGTGACATAAGTTAAGTTGACTAGATAAATTGCTCTGGTATGTAGAAATGAAGCGAATTTATATTCAATAAATGGAAACTATTATTCCTAAAAGAAATCGGCTTAAACGGCCATTTTACTTTAAAAGTTATATCAATATTGAGGAACACCGAACTTTCCAGAAACTTCAAGGATTTGAATACAATAAATCAACATTGTAAGTCTTTTAAAGGTTCCTATGCGGTTACAAGATTTATCTTGTCATATTTCTTTAAGAACATATAAAGTATATTACAAGTTATTACTTACTACCTACCTATATTTAGCTATTTCATTTTTTACTATCCTCTTTAAGAGATACCCACTATCTATCGGCTCTAATGGTCTTACGAAGGTCTTTTTTTTTTGACGTTGTGTTACGTGTATTCACAAATTGATTCACAAAATTTTACTGATGGAGCACAGTTAATGTGTCGCGACATGTCGTAGAGAAAATTATCCGCGCGGAGATCAAAGAATCGTTGTATTGTAATAGACTTATTAAACAGTAAAAAAACATTTGTTACTTTAAACTCATGTTAACAAATGTAATTTTTATAACAGTGCAAGCTATCTATACCAAATGATTTCCTAAAGGATTACCTTTACAAGAAGTATTATTAGCTTAAACTTAATAAATATACAATCTAAAAATAGTAAAGATATCTGAACTTTTTAAGTTAGGTCTGTTTGTGTGGTCCTATTAATAAACAAAACAAGAAATATTTTATTGCCATTGACACTGAACACGGTAAGAAAATCTTTAGTAAACTCAAACAAATTTATAATATGATTAATGATATATTACATGCTGTTCCGCATAAATTGTATTACCCGATTCCGGAGTTCAAAGAATACACCATTAAAGTAACATAAAGGAAATAATTGAGAGTCTATTCAGGAAACTTACCAAGGACAAGTTAGCATGCGTTGGTGGAGTCGCGAAAGATTGACTCAAACGCAATTTCGAAAGCTCAAATATTTCGCTATAGTGCCTTATAAAATGGGAAGTAGGATATACTTTATGTGTTTCAAATCCATTTAATGAATGTGCTAGAATTCAAGAATATAAAACCTGGTTGTAATTTAAATTAAAAACAACACTAAATTTATTTTAGATCTAATATAAAATTGTATTGCATCCAATATCCAATAAATAAGACAATATAAAAAGAATAAAATAAACTCGAGGGAATAATATCTAAAACTGAATTAGTCAAAAATGATTAATTTAATAGTTATAAGTGGCTGCTTTTTTACTTGTACCATGGTTAACCATGGAATAATAATAATATATAATAATAATATATTGTTTTGCTCAAATCTGGGACATACTTTGTATGTTACTGTTTAATATTTTCTATGTAGTTATTGGTGGGTTTATTCTATTTTTTTCTATATTAATTAAAACTTTGCCTCAAAACTAATTTTCATTGTCCACTTTATTTGAAATAAAAAATGCACATTAAACTTATTTGCAATTATTTCACAACTACATATTTAATCAGTACACACTGTAAATTACTTATTATATGAAATTTTGTGTGGAATTACATCAATTTTATGATCTATTTGATTTATCATTATACCTGTATTATTCAAATTATATCCACATGCAATAAGCCATTTACTGAATTTATGGTATGGAAATTATCTTTATTTATAAGTCATACGAAAACAATAAAAAAGCTTTTAATAATTTAAAAAGCAAATGAATGAATTTTAATCAAATTTTCCCAAATAAAACCAGTCAATCATCTTGTAATTAATTCCTCACGGTTGACTAATACCAGCCTTTGCTAATTATAATTTATTTGAAAGCCCAGATATTTAAAACAGTTTTAGTCAAATCAAATTATAAACGAATTCATTATCAAAGTTGAAATCGATCGAAAAACTATTATTACTTAAATCAGTGTATTTTATTTCGTTTTTAAGGAAGTGGCAGTTTTTTGAAGAAATTGAAAACGTTGTACCTTTGCAGCTATAAATTTGCTTTGGTTGCAAGTTGAGCCTGCTCCTTGGGGATTTTCTTTCAATATTCTGAATACATAAATACATCCAATAAGCTTCCTTTCTAAGGATAAATTTGTTTAAGTAAATGCAAACATTGGGTGGCATAAACAAACTAATTATTTTTTACGAAATATGACCATTTTTTCTATAAAAAAAGGTTGAACTATAATTTTTTAGAAATTTTAATTTTCTAAATCTTTGTTATAAAAGAAGTAATAATTATTTTTTTATTCTTAAACTATAACAAAAAACAAATTATTAAATAGTAATATTAAAATATAAATTAAACAAAGTGTGTTGATACGCCACTAATCTAAGACTATCTATCTAAGTGTTTTTTGTTTGTTTTAGGTAATGCACAATAAGTCCTTCTATAATTCTGTGTAAG